CCCCCCCCCCCCCCCTTGCGCTGGCGGTCAAAAAAAAACCCTGCGGTATATATTTTATCACCCGCGCTCGACGGACTTTGAAGAGAATATAGAGGGTCTGTGAACAGGCTATCGTCCATTGGATCAAGAACATTTAGATTCCAGTTAGGAACTCAGTAATGATGGCAACACGGCGGACGGTCACGCTTCCGGCCGGTAGCTCTCATGATTATCGTAGAAGTAATTAAGATAGCCAAATGGGATTCTTTACACTTTTTAAAAAACATGTACCATGGGGCATATATTAACCAAGTATAAGGTAATATTGCCACGCTTTAACACATATTTCATAAAAAATTCAATAGCACACAGAGAGCATTTATTGTCTGGAACCTTCTTAGTCCTGACCTTGCAAAGACATCTAACGTTCAAAATTGCACTAGAATGGCCTCTAAATCTGACAACCTACGTAATTTAGATTTTCGGGCTGAAGTTCCACCAACAATGCTTCACAATAATAACGATGATTTTTTTGTATTATTAAGACGATTTTAATATACTTTTACTGCTTAAGTTTTAGTTAGCTTAAATGCACGACCCCACAAGCAGCAACGCTTTAATCACCGTCGTGTTGAAAATATAAAAGTTATTGTATTGTATAGTTAGGTAAATCGTCCGCCAAACGAAGTAAGTTTGATGAATGGAGGTTCATCAATCTTGCCCCACATTCAGTATAAAGTTGTTCTTCTTGTACTGCGAACTGTATTCGCCGTAGGTTTCTGATTACTCAGTTTCTTGCATGAATCTTTGGGCAAAAATACCCTCGCAGATAGGAGATAGTCCGTCGGCACTCATCCCTTGTTTGTGCGTCAAATTTCACAAATGCGTTAGCGTTGCATTTTAAGGTTAAATTTGACCAGCATTTTGTGCAGCGAGTTCTACGGTCACGATTGACTTCAAACATGCAGATATAAAATTAAAGAGCTCTGAGGCTTATTTGTTGAAGTTAGACAAAAATCTGTCGTAGGGTTTCGAAGTTATTGACATTTTTTGCAAAAATTCGGTTTTAGACATATGCCGATATCTCATATGTTTATATACCTGCAGAAAAATAGATAACATTTTCTTAAAGTTGCATCATTCTTTATTAAGGGTCCAAAAATTATAGAAATCGGTTAAACCGTTTTTGCCTAAAAACGCGATTCAAACACATAACCAACGCGCATATATATAGGTTCGGGCTCCCTTAAACTATTTAAAGCGAGGACTATATGTAAATATGTAAATAGTGATAGGTAATAATTTAACGTATTTTTATTTTTATTTAGGAAACGTTATAGGGTAGACCTCGTGTCTCCTTTTCATGATGTATTTTATTTTTACTTTCTTATCTTCTGGTTTTTGTATTTTAAACACTATAAACTATTGTATATTGTTAAACATTATGAATAAACCAGTACTGTATTGTATTGTATTGTACGAAATTCATACATTGATTATTTAAAGATTTATGTAAGTGTTTTATATTGCAAACGGTAAGTAAAGACTTAAGCAATAGAAAACGATTTCCGTGTTTGCATAGCCTGATATAAACACGAGAGGGGTTGGGAGAATTCGAGACAGTTATGCAAACCCGAGACGAAGTCGAGGGTTTGCATAACTGTCTCGAATTCTCCCAACGCCTCGAGTGTTTGTATCAGGCTATGCAAACACAGGAAAAAAAAATTTCTATTGCTTTTATAAAATAACTTTCCCGAGAAAATAAACGTAAAACTCTTTGTATGGCACTGATTAAAAGAGAAATTCTTACCAGTCGCAAAATCTTGTCCACGAAGTCTTGAACGCGTAATCAGTTCTTGTTTTGCAAAAAGATGCTTTGCAAAATACGGATTTTTCTCGCTTAAAATGTCAACTTAAGCGAAGAAAAATTGACTCACCTTCTTTGTAACGATTTTCCATGTTTCAGCCGACGAAGGAATGGGTAAATAAAGTAAACTTGTCGAGTTTTGAACTCGAAAACTTTTTCAAATTCGTGCTTGCGTGATTAGCGCGCGAAAAGCCAAACAACTTGACGCCACAACCATGTTTACATACTCTCATGCAAACACTCCTCTCGGCCAATCAGAGCGCGCGTACTATCTTAGTTATTTTATAAAACAGCATGGGGAATGAGTCCGGAGTAAGAGAGAACCTGGGTTAGCCGATTTTTAAATCTTGTGACTGAAATAGTTTCATTGGCCAGATTTTTTATCAGTACGGTGTACGATAGTAAACAGTAGGTTACAAACTACTCTCTAAAGCTATTTATTTAGATATTCTGCATGTGCAGATTCAACATGTATAGAATAGGCCAAAGAAATGATAGTCCAACACTTATAATCGTGACCTACCTCAGTAAATCTTACATGAAAGTTTTTATGATTATCTTCCCTAGGAATCTTGTTTCCACTTTCTTACTCTTAATTTTTTTTACTCAAGGTTAAGATAAAAGCGTTATGGACAACATCTTGAATATTCTACAGACCATTGATATTAGTGCAGTAGTTGCAACTTTCCTTTTCAACACTGGACGTATTATAAAAGCGGTATACATCTTTAACGAATGTTTGGCGCTCCTTAATGGTAAATCCCTAGAGACAATCAAAGAACTTACCACACCACAAGTTATCTATGTATACTGTAAACTTCTTGATGGCTATACTCTTATGTACGATTTCACCCGTGCGATAGAATGTGGTAAAAGACTTCACGTGACGCTACACAATAGTGGCCAAAAAGAACAAGAAGGGATAATATTACTTAAACTAGCGAGCATCTACCGTCAAAGAAGCGAATACGAGGAAGCAAAACAGTTTATCGAGAAGGCACTTAGCATCATGATTGAGACTGGTAACAATCGGGGAGTTGGAAGATGTTACGAAATTCTAGGAACTGTTTTTTTATCTGTTGATCAATATACCAAGGCTGAAGAATACCTTCAGAAAGCACTAGTGATCACGAAAGAAATCGATGACAAACAAGGAGAAGCATCTGCTTACGGCAAGCTAGGAGTTATGTTCCAATCTGTTGGTCAATATACCACGGCTGAAAAATGCCTTCAGAAAGCACTAGTGATCAGCAAAGAAATCGGCGACAAAGAAGGACAAGCGGTAGCTTACGGAAATCTAGGAACTGTGTTCCGATCTGTTGGTCAATATACCAAGGCTGAAGAATACCTTCAAAAAGCACTAGCGATCAGCAAAGAAATCGGTGACAAAAACGGAGAAGCATCAGATTACGGAAATTTAGGAAATGTGTTTCAATCTGTTGGTCAATATACCAAGGCTGAAGAATACCTTCGAAAAGCACTGGTGATCAAAAACGAAATCGGTGACAAACAAGGAGAAGCATCTGCTTACGGAAGTCTAGGAACTGTGTTCCAATATGTTGGTCAATATACCAAGGCTGAAAAATACCTTAAAAAAGCTCTAGTGATCAGCAAAGAAATCGGTGACAAACATGGAGAAGCATCTGCTTACGGAAATCTAGGAACTGTGTTTAAATTTGTTGGTCAGTATACCAAGGCTGAAGAATACATTCAAAAAGCACTAGTGATCAGGAAAGAAATCGGTGACAAACACGGAGAAGCATCAGATTACGGAAATCTAGGAACTGTGTTGCAATCTATAGGTCAATATACCAAGGCTGAAGAATACGTTCAAAAAGCGCTGGTGATCAAGAAAGAAATCGGTGACAAAAGAGGAGAAGCATCAGATTACGGAAATTTAGGAACTGTGTTTGAATCTATTGGTCAATATACCAAGGCTGAAGAATACCTTCAGAAAGCACTAGTGATCAGGAAAGAAATCGGTGACCAACACGGAGAGGCATCAGATTACGGAAATCTAGGAACTGTGATTAAATCTGTTGGTCAATATACCAAGGCTGAAGAATACCTTCAGAAAGCACTAGTGATCAGTAAAGAAATCGGTGACAAACACGGAGAAGCATCAGATTACGGAATTCTAGGAAATGTGTTTAATTCTGTTGGTAAATATACCAAGGCTGAAGAAAACCTTCAGAAAGCTCTAGTGATCAGCAAAGAAATCGGTGACAAACACGGAGAGGCATCAAATTACGGAAATCTAGGAACTGTGTTTAAATCTGTTGGTCAATATACCAAGGCTGAAGAATACCTTCAGAAAGCTCTAGTGATCAGCAAAGAAATAGGTGACAAAAAAGGAGAAGCATCAGCTTACGGAATTCTGGGAACTGTCTTCCGATCTGTTGGTCAATATAACAAGGCGGAAGAATACCTTCATAAAGCACTAGTGATCATGAAAGAAATCGGTGACAAACACGGAGAGGCTTCAAATTACGGAATTCTAGGAACTGTGTTTAAATCTGTTGGTCAATATACCAAGGCTGAAGAATACCTTCAGAAAGCTCTAGTGATCAGCAAAGAAATAGGTGACAAAAAAGGAGAAGCATCAGCTTACGGAAATCTAGGAACTGTGTTCCAATCTGTTAGTCAATATACCGAGGCTGAAGAACTCCTTCAAAAAGCACTGACGATCTGTGAAGAAATCGGAGACAAATGTGGTGTTGGAGCTTCATACTTAAATCTGGGAAACCTTTGTCGAGAATTTCAGCTTAATGTGAAGAGTCAAGAATTTGCTAATAAAGCACTTGAGATAAGTTACGAAATACGGGACATTGAATTGCAGTTTTCCAGCCACCTTACCATTGCTCTGAACGAGTTAGTGGCAGGAGGAAGCATAACTGAACTTGTGCTACGAAATCTCTATGAAAGCATTCAAAAGTGCGAAGAAATGCA